TAAATGCCAACAAACAGTGAAGATACACTTGTTCAAGCAGTATTAAATATAATTAAAATCCTTCTGCATACAAAATGTTGTTAGAAGTTCCCCATGCTACAGGACAGTAATGATGTAAACTGCGAGATGTCATTGGAGATTGTTGACACTATACAAACGCATAGTAGAAAAGGTCAGAAGCAAATCGTGATTAGCTTTTCCCTCTTTGCTCAGAGTTCAACGCTGGTTTCTGCCATCTCATCTCATTACAGGAAGTACCGCTACACGGCATACCACCAGTTAACCTGGTGGGTGCACAAGAGGCTGGGGCGGGGAAACCGAGTGGTGCTGCCCAGCTGCGTCGTCTGTCGGATTCGGCAAGAATTCCCGTCCACAGATGGGACATACAGGGGGTTCAAAAAATAAAAAAAGTATTGGCCACCTGAAGCACTCGTTTACGGCATGTTTTGTCCAGCCCTTCAAAGACACCTTCATCAGTAAAAGACAGCAAATGTCACCAAGCTCTAGGCTCGTAAGTTTAGCAATAGGTTGCAACCTATGAACCTAAGAATGGCTTGCGAGGTCGTTAATGACTAGTAGGTACGATAACGTGAACAGTTAAGTTTTCCTGATTATAATGCATTTTTCATTCAACAGAGCGGAACTTCACCTGTGCTTTTTCAGACTGTTCAGGCAGTGAAGAGGGAGAAGCTAAGTTTTATCATCTACCATAATATCTCAAGAGAAGACCCATCCCCAAAAGATAGCCCACCCTGATTTTCAGCATAACTTCTTATTATCCTAATGGCTTTAGTTGAACTCAATTTTGCACGCTGAAAGTTAGTCCACCCTGTATTTTCGCCTAATATGCTCTCAGTTTTACGTGGGCTGTCTCTTGGTATATTATGGTAAGTCGCTCCTATTTACTGCATAAGTGGTTTTAGTGATAAACATTTGATTTGCAAAAGTAGAAGTTAAAAACTAGCGATAGCTTATTCGCATTAACCGCACTGCACCGTGTGCATGGTGCAACACCGGCAACCAAGTCGAAGGTCTAGACAAATACATGTATGGTAATTCCAAATTCTCGTATATCTTCGTAGCAAGAACTTGAGCCTCCAGCAAAATTGGCGCATATATCCTGCATATGAGCTTCCATTCAAAGCAAAGCTGCATTTGTCCACAGAAAAGGCAGACTAACATAAAACAAAGTGTCACAGTAGCACCTGAAACTCGAGAATTCCGAGGCAGTCATTGGGTTCAAACGGTTGATTGACCAAAATGAAGTTGCAAGTGTTGCTCGCTGGAAGGACAAAACAAAGAGGTGGGAAAAGGCGGTGGTTCTTTGCCAATGAATGTAAGAAAATTTACATTTGTTATTAAACAGCTGATACGTAGTCACCTTGGAAATCACTGTCTAAACCAGATTTGTAACACTTGTGGTGATCAAGTCTTCAAGCAAGGCACAAAAATGCAGCTGGCAACTGTAGTTCATATGCTTGAGTAAGGTCCAGTGTAAAAAATACCAACCCACTTTGCAAATTAGTTAGTTTTTGTATCATCGTCATAGGATACACCACGGCTTTCACCATCTGCAGGATTATGACTGCTCACCACCAGATCACCAAGCAGCAGATGAGGATGAAAATCGTAATGACCAAGCGGAGAGCAAACTCCGTCTCCAATGGTCTCATTCCCAATGAATGGGCCCGTTCCCAGGTGGCTTGGGAGACAAGCAAGGGTACTACTGAGAAGAATCGCAGAGGATATGGCGTGCACACCCGAGAGAAGAGCAAAGTAGAGCTGAGAAGGACAACTACCAGTCTGCAAATTCCGTAAAAATTCCAGTAGTCCAATTGGTCTCGGATGCCTCCTTTGAGAATGCCATGGTCTTCAAACTACCAGCCAAGCACTGTAAAGAGCCACCTCTAGAAAGCCTCCTTACAAGCAACAACACTTCCTGCGTTCCATTCTTGATCATATTCATGAGGCAAGTTGGGATTTTTTTTTTTAACCCAACCTCCTTCCTATACCATCTGCCCTGTCCTCGCTAATATCAGCAGCCTCCGATAACCCCCTTTCTTGTCTTTTGGCTCCTGAAACATTTTTACTCTACTACTGCATGTGGCGATCAACTTTTTCCTCATGCAAAGATTGAAACTTTGAGCCTTTAAACAAAATCTTCGGATGCAAGTCGGCCAAGAACTGGCTTCTGTCATGTATCGGCTGGTGGCCAAGAGATAGCGTTGCCAGGCAAATGCACATACCAGCGCTCTTCAAAAGCACGGGCCTGGGGCACGGTACGTGTGCACGGGCATTGGGATTCGAGGCACCATTAAAAAGCAACGTTTGGACGCTCCTTGGTGTTGTGCTTGGGCTTTACCCAGGATACATTACATTTTAGCGACGAGGTCGGTCAACGTCCAAGAACTACAGCGGGATGACCACCCAAGGCAAGCTGGAAGAATTCGACCAGACAGCTTCTACTGCAAGGCGAACAGAATAACAGATCCTTAAAAGAAAAGGGCCCTACTGCTTACACGTTGTGGAGCACAGACGTACAAAGTCGTGCGAGCACTGGCTGCACCGAGAACACCCAGAAGTGTCAATTTCGGTGAACTCATGGTGATGCTGCTTTGACCCGCAGCCGTCGGAGCTCTTCGGCACAACGAAGTTCCAGCGAAGAGACCAGCAGCCTGGGAGTCAATTTCCAGCTACACGACAGCCCTAAAGAAGCTAGCTGCTGATTGTAACTTTGGGATTCTAGTGACACAGGCGGCTGCAACAACTTCCAGTACCGCAGGCATGGGTTTGGCTACAACTGGTACGACAGCTGGTTCCGTCAACTTGGGAGCAACTGGAACTTCAGTTCCGGTGAGTCAACCAGTTTTCAACCCAACCATGCTACCTCTCGACGTCAGGCTGAGATTGTTTTGTTCGTGGCATAAGAGACGAGCATCTACAACAGAGTCTGTTTGCAGGGACCAACTTAACGTTTCATAAAGCATACGACATGGCCGTGCGGACAGAAAGTGCTGCACAACATCAACGAGATTTGAAAACCCAAAAATCTTAGGTTTAAGCTGTCAAAAAAGCAATATTACTGCTGAAATTGTGGAAACGGAAAGACAAAACAAACTGTCAGAATCCCAGACGTGCTACCGATGCCAAGAACAGCATTCGGCGTTCTCGTGCAAGTTCCAAAATACACGATGTAACCTCTGCCCCAAGAAGGGGCATGTCAAAAAGGCTTGTTTCAAGAAGTTAAGGGCGCAGCACCAAGCGTGGATGACACACAACGTGGAACAGGAGAATGAGACCCTTGATTCTGATGATGATCTTTCGGACAAGTCATGGAGCCTGCATGAGCTGAATGCTGCCTAAGGTCATCCTGGAGATTGAAAACCGAGAGCTGGAATTTGAGATCAATTCGACAGATGCTTGCTCAATCATCAATGAAGCCACGTATTGTCCTCTGTAGCCCACGAAGCCCCAATCACTGAACCAGGAGGGAATAATCCTTCATACCTGGTCAGGAGAAATTTTACAAGTACTTGGAAAGGCGAATGTTTGCGTCAGGCATTGATTGAAACAATACATCTTGTCGTTGGTAGTGACGCGTGGAACCAGTTCCAGTCTTCAGGAAGAGACTGGTTCAAAGAGCTGAAGATTAGGGTCTGTGGAATTCACCTCCTCGGCACCAGAAACAACATTGTGAACATTTTGAAGGTACATGAGGATGTTTCTGATGCGAAGATCACGGGGCACAAGGGTCCGCCTGTAAACTTTGATTTAAAAGGGGACGCTACTGCCAATTCCCTCCAATCACAGCCCGTGCCGTTCGCACTGCGTACCGCAGTAGGGGTTGAATTGAAAACTCTCGAGAACCAAGGTATTTTCGAACCGACAAAGCACTTAGAGTGGGCTATACCGGTGGTAGTTGTCCGAAAGAAAGGCGGGACCATTTGGCTATGTGGAGACTACCGAAGTATGGTAAACAAGGAGGCGAAAGCCGCAGTGCACCCTATGCTGAGGATTCCAGAAATCCTAACCAATCTGCAAAACAGGTTGGTATTTTCTACACTGGACCTTGCTCAAGCGTATCAACAACTACAGTTAACAACAGAAACAGCCGACGTGTTAACCATTAACACTGCAAAAGGCCTCTACAGGGTAAAAAGGATGCCATTTGGGATCGCCGCCAACACCAGCGATTTTCTATCGATTCATGAAAGCAGTACTAGCTAAAATCCCGCGGATCGGGGTATACCTCGATGACGCTATCAGCGGTACGACCGCAGCAGAACATGACTCAACTGGATACAGTTTTGATGCGACTTGCTCAGGCTGGACTTCAACTCAAGAGGTGCAAGTTACGTTTTGCAGTGGAACAAGTTGTATACCTCGGATACATCATCGATACTGCCGGGATACTCCCGACAGAGGAGAAACTGAAAGCGACCAAAGAGATGCCCGAACCAACATGCCAAACAATGCTGCAGTCGTTTCTTCGTCTTCTAGCGTTTTTCAATCGGTTTCTGGCAAACAGGGCAACAATCACGAAAGACCTCTACATATTTCTAGAGAAAGACGTCCCCGGTGAATGGCAGGAAACAAATTGGCGAGCCTTTAGACAGTTAAAGTATGTTATTGCACAGCGTGCAGTTCTCGCACACTACGATAAAAACAAAAGCTTGAGCGTGTCATGTGACGCAACCCTCTACGGCATCGAGGCAGTATTAGCTCAGCTAGATTCAGATAGAAACAAAACACCGATCGTCTTTACATCAAGAATGCTCATTAAGGTCGAAAAGGATTTCTTCTAACTGGATTGTGAGGGGCTGGCTACTATCTTTGCCATACACCGTTTTCATCACTACGTCGCAAGGCGTCACGTGAAAAGAATTACTCCCAATTGGATCGTAAAAGGCTGGCTATTATATTCGCCATGGACCGTTTTCATCGCTACGTTGCGGCGCATCACGTGACCATAACGACTGACCACCAACCGCTGTTGGGCATCATAGGACAGGAGTCCCCAGTACCGACTGTGCTTTCACCAAGTAGGACATGCTGGTGTGTTAAGCTGGGAGCCTATGATTATAACCTAATCTCTAGACCAGGAAAGCGAAATTAAAACGCTGATGCTTTAGGCAGACTACCATTGCCCGAGACTGACAATGAGCAACATCCTTCAGGCAACGTACTGATGTTAGAAGCCCCGACGAAACCTCCCATGACTGAAAAGGAACTGGCCGACAACACAGCAGTGGATCCCATTCTTGCTGAGGTTTTCCGAACGGTCAAACACGGTGAAGTGAAAAAGCTGGAGCGTAGCGCAAGAAGCTGCATCAAGCAAGTGGAACCTTGGCCTACATCAGACTACCGAGTAAACCTAGAGCAGTGCTGTTGCACCAATGCCTGTTTATCTCCATGCTGATACGCACTAGAAAGAAATGGAGGTGCATCCTGGTTGCAGAGGGCAGCTGCAGCCTTGTAGGATGGCAGCGTTGAGCAGAGGTGCAGCACAACTGCCATGAGCTCCCCCACATACTCTGTAATGAGACATTCAAAGCAATTAAAAAATCTGCACCAGCCACGTACAAATATGAGCACGGCCATATACCATAGGTGCAGTCAGTCTTGCGCTTAGCAACAGTGGGTCCTTTCTTTGCTTTTGGATACTTGATGACCCACATCTTCTCTCCTTTCTTGGTCACCGCTTGGGGCCTTCCCGCATTTTCGTTGTAATGGAGGGCAGCGAGGTAGGTCCTGTACAAGATATGCATGACAAAAAAACACCTAAACAGGAAATAACCAAATTTCTTACACACCTGGCCTTCATGCTTCGGAAGCTGAAGTGGACCTGCTTCGGCGCAACCTGCAACAGAGTACTATGAAAGCACTCTGTTGCAAATGTCTGCGCCGATGTGGACAGTCGAGGAATGTCGCGAAGCAGGTGAGTGGAGAGCACGATCTCCTCCAGCTTCTGGTGCGCAGGGGACCCTACAACAAGAACGTGGGACATAGTGCAATGCAGAAAGCGTATTTCAAGCCTCACAAAAATAAAAATCTGTCCTTACCTTCTGCTAGCCACTTTTTCTCTAGCTCCTCATGCTCACACTCTGGGAAGAGAGGGTCAGCGTGGGTATGCACACCCACTACGTGTGCCACCAGAGACTTCCATTTTGGCAGGATGAGGTCCTGGTTGTCGACACTTGACCCAGCACACCAGTACAGATGGTTCACCACTGCCCTTGTCCAAGACCCGAGCTCCTCTAAATGCCGTGACTTGGCAGCTGCAGCCAGCTTTCTCTTGATGCCTGAAGTGAAATGTTGTAAACAAGGTAAACATGATGCATGCAGGGCACCTTTGGAAAGCCAACAGGCTCTTTTGAAACTCCAGTGCCAGCTGGAACCTGTCACGCATACTTCAATCTCTTTTTTACTAGCAGCAGCAACAAAGCGTGGCCAAAGCTGGCAGACCTTCTTTTTCTGGAAGCTGCCACAACGCCGTTCATATTTTTATGTCTAGATATACCAGGTCTTTCAGTGAAAGCTTTTAAAAATTACTGAAAATAGGTTATCTGAAAAGCAAAGAGGCAAAACAAAAACAAAGAATTTTGAAGGCTACCACCATGGTAGTAAGTAAAGTAAAAAGTAAAAAGAAGCAACCAGCTTCAAGATCACCAACAAACTCTGCGCCGTAATGGGTATGGTAGGACAGGTGCGTATAGTGATATCAAATTTCGAAAATCATACCCATTACAGTGCAAAGTCTGTCGGTGAATATCTCTAAGCCAGTTGCTTCTTTTTACTTTTTGTAAATTGCTTTAGATGACCATGGTGGCAGCCTTCAAAACCCTAATTGCAACATGGCCCTAAAAATTGCTAATTAGAAATTTAAATAGCCCATTTTAGTTAGTTAGATAGCTCAATTTTATATCTTTTGCAACTCTTAACACTTCCCACGGCTGGGGAAGTTTACATTTTCCCAAAGGCTGCCTTCAGGACCACTGCCCAAGCTGGTGATAGTCTCATTGGGATAGATGGAACCTTTTTAAATCTTACCCTTCCCCACATGCCAGCAATCAAAAAGGTGGCAGATATCTGGGTGTTCTCGTCCCAGCCAAGCATTGAGCTGGGGATGCCGGTCGGTTACCAGGATGGCCACAATCAACGAGTGGGCCTCAAAAATGCTGAGGGACCTCTTGAGGCCTTCCAGCTCCATATGATAGCTGCCCCCAGTTTCATTTGACTAAAAGAAACAAACGAGGACAACATGAAGCAGCACAAACGAAACAAAATATGCCAGTTTGTACACCTCAATGTCTGAACATTGAGGTGCGTGTCTTTCCATTGCTGTGTCCAAGTCACAGTAAAGGGAAATGGGTGTAACTCACATCTCTCGATTTTGTAATTCACATTTCCACACTTTGTAATGATGATAACGAATTATTAAAAAAATTACAAGCTACATGGCCGAAAAAATGCTCAGCAGATATTTACCTAGTTGCAAGTATAACATTATATGCTTATGGCAGCATAGAATCTGGAGCACCTATAGAATTTGTGTACATACCTGGACGGTTTCAACGTGAATGACCTTGTTGTCATCGGCATCAAGCATCGTGTAGGAGCCATACTTGGCCGAGTGGCCAGGTGAGTCTGCTCTCCCGTCAGCGGCGATGGTGAGGTGCCTGCCTGCAGCAGCTGCGAACAACTCGTTCTGATGCTTGTTCCAGACCTGGTTACGAAAAATACAGGATAGGCAACTGGGCTTGAAACAGAGACCGAGTTTAAATTAGGTCACATTTTCTTTACAGAATCTACTATTATGTCTTAATGAATGTGTTTTAATGGTTCGAGGACCAAATTTGGCCTACAAGACCAACACACGAGCAGAAAGAATTTCAGCCATGGGTTACTCCTTTCCAAACCAGGAACGAAACCACTCGTTTCTGTAGTAAACAGTTTCTAGGCCCACTTTATTGTGGTCACGAGGAGCAAAGAGCACAGGGAAAACATGGGGGGGGGGGGGGGCGTTTCTGTCAGTTTTTAACTTCAGAGTACCTTTTCGATTGAGGGCAGGAGAAATACTCCCCACCGGCTTCCGCTTGATGATGGGCTGGCTGCACCAGTTATTCACATGTCCACTCCGACAAATTGAGTAGACTTCCAGGCTGCAGCCAACGACACTCTTGTCCACGTGGATCAGGGGAGCAGCACATACTTGGCACTTCCCCAGGAGAAGGTCAAGGCAAGACTCGAATACAATGAATTTCCTCTCCTTTACCAAAGATGGTGTTTCCCTCTCAAGCCTGCGACACAAAAACCAACATCATCTCAACAAACTGTCTAAGCATGATAGATGATCTCATAAATTCTTACACGACTGCATACGGACCTAACAGAGCTGTCCTCTGGTGGACAATACGTAGGGTCATCTCTTTCCAGTGGCTGCTTCCCTGATACACCCAGGTCTTCTGAATCAGAACTGCACAAAAGGGGGGTCACAAAGTGATGTCTGGGAGTTGCAGGGCCTCAGGGAACTCCTAAAACTAACACAGAAATAGGTGGAGAGGTTGTTGCCAGATGGCGTTCAGATGCTCTAGGCATTGTAGGCCCAAGACCTTTGCATACCTCTGTTCTGGATCACCACAGTTTGACGAGGAAGAGGTCTGCGGCATAATTCCAGAAAGCTCCGTCTGCACTTTCTTGTTCCTCGATGGTATACATGCTTGTGTACCTAGCAAAAAATCTAAGGCATTAGAAATGTGCTCCATTTAAATATAATGAATGGGTTTTTGACTTAAACTCTGTGTGCTAACTACACCAAGCTCTCTTTAACAAATACCAAACATCTGCAAAGCTCAAACATCGAGATATATCTGACACCACCTCCTTCTCAGTTTAACTCGCTCAAGTAGAATTCGAACAGAATTAAAATAATTCTCGTGTCAGTATATTTAGTTTACATGAATGACCGTACCTGCGTTTCTGCCGAAGCCTGTTGTCTGCGTCATCACGGACCGTGTCTCGTAACGTGACGATGCTGAAAACACAGGATGTCTAGCAGCAGTCATTGCTCTCAAGGCTGCTGTAAAGTAAACGAAAAGCAGAAATAGTCAATGATTGAGAAACAAAGGAACCTTTGTAGCAACAAAAGCGCTGTGTAGATGTCAAACGTGACAATCACTGTGCCAATATGGAGAGGCCTTTGACGGTTTTGCTCGATACAGGTGACACAAAAGAGTATAGTCCCCCTTCGGTGTGCTTGCATACCTGTCTGGGTGCGGGCGTCGTCACTCCATATCAGAGAGGTGGGGGAGGCCACAGGTGGACGCAGAATGGAAAAAAACGCACCAAACGTACCTATGGACATATATCAATCAGCGTAAAGGTGCATGATTGAGCGACAAGAAAACTTTAGAAGCAACACAAGCACTGTGTACATGCGTCTGGTGGTTCTGCTTGAAGCAGGTGACACTACGAAGTATAGGTCCCGCTTGGAGCACCTGAGGGGGGATCGGTGGCCGAGTGGGCTAGCGCACACCAGCTCAGAGCACGTGGAGCGAAAGCTCGCGCTGCAGAACCCAAGATGCTGGGTTTTATCCCCACCCCTGCCTGTTTTGATCTGAATGAGCATCGTACCAGCGTGCGGTCGTGCATCACTACTGCGTGATGTTCGTTAAGGACCCCAGGCTAGTGGCTGTACTGCACTGGGTAAATTTCTCATCTACAGCTGGGAGACAAGTCGCCCGTTGAGGTAGACCAAGTTCTAGACTTTATAAACATACACACAACCCAATTTTTTTTTTTTCTTGAAGCACCTGCATACCTGTCGGGGTGCAGGCTCCATTCGTCAGCGTCAAAGCAGTGGGTGAGGCCGCTGGTAGAGCCAGCCTGGAACCCAACGCTCGAGGGGCGCCTATGAACAGACATGAATCAGCATAGAAGTGCATGATCGAGACACAAAAAACCTTAGAGCAACATTAGCACTGTGTGGATGCGTCTGGCAGTTCCGCTTGAAGCAGGTGACACCACGCAGTATAGGTCCCATCGGAGTGCCTTCATACCTGTCGGGGTGCGGGCTCCGTCTGTTCGTGTCGGAGCGGTCGGCGAGGCCGCAGGTGGGCAACCCAACGCTCCAGGGGCGCCTATGAACAGACATGAATCAGCATAGAAGTGCCTGATCGAGACACAAAAAACCTTAGAGCAACATTAGCACTGTGTGGATGCGTCTGGCAGTTCCGCTTGAAGCAGGTGACACCACGCAGAATAGGTCCCATCGCAGTGCCTTCATACCTGTCGGGGTGCAGGCTCCATTCGTCCGCGTCAAAGCAGTGGGTGAGGCCGCTGGTAGAGGCAGCCTGGAACCCAACGCTCGAGGGGCGCCTATGAACAGACATGAATCAGCATAGAAGTGCATGATCGAGACACAAAAAACCTTAGAGCAACATTAGCACTGTGTGGATGCGTCTGGCAGTTCCGCTTGAAGCAGGTGACACCACGCAGTATAGGTCCCATCGGAGTGCCTTCATACCTGTCGGGGTGCGGGCTCCATCTGTTCGTGTCGGAGCGGTCGGCGAGGCCGCAGGTGGGCAACCCAACGCTCCAGGGGCGCCTATGAACATACATGAATCAGCATAGAAGTGCATGATCGAGACACAAAAAACCTTAGAGCAACATTAGCACTGTGTGGATGCGTCTGGCAGTTCCGCTTGAAGCAGGTGACACCACGCAGTATAGGTCCCATCGGAGTGCCTGCATACCTGTCGGGGTGCAGGCTCCATTCGTCCGCGTCAAAGCAGTGGGTGAGGCCGCTGGTAGAGGCAGCCTGGAACCCAACGCTCGAGGGGCGCCTATGAACAGACATGAATCAGCATAGAAGTGCATGATCGAGACACAAAAAACCTTAGAGCAACATTAGCACTGTGTGGATGCGTCTGGCAGTTCCGCTTGAAGCAGGTGACACCACGCAGTATAGGTCCCATCGGAGTGCCTTCATACCTGTCGGGGTGCGGGCTCCATCTGTTCGTGTCGGAGCGGTCGGCGAGGCCGCAGGTGGGCAACCCAACGCTCCAGGGGCGCCTATGAATAGACATGAATCAGCATAGAAGTGCCTGATCGAGACACAAAAAACCTTAGAGCAACATTAGCACTGTGTGGATGCGTCTGGCAGTTCCGCTTGAAGCAGGTGACACCACGCAGTATAGGTCCCATCGGAGTGCCTTCATACCTGTCGGGGTGCGGGCTCCATCTGTTCGTGTCGGAGCAGTCGGCGAGGCCGCAGGTGGGCAACCCAACGCTCCAGGGGCGCCTATGAATAGACATGAATCAGCATAGAAGTGCCTGATCGAGACACAAAAAACCTTAGAGCAACATTAGCACTGTGTGGATGCGTCTGGCAGTTCCGCTTGAAGCAGGTGACACCACGCAGTATAGGTCCCATCGGAGTGCCTGCATACCTGTCGGGGTGCAGGCTCCATTCGTCCGCGTCAAAGCAGTGGGTGAGGCCGCTGGTAGAGGCAGCCTGGAACCCAACGCTCGAGGGGCGCCTATGAACAGACATGAATCAGCATAGAAGTGCATGATCGAGACACAAAAAACCTTAGAGCAACATTAGCACTGTGTGGATGCGTCTGGCAGTTCCGCTTGAAGCAGGTGACACCACGCAGTATAGGTCCCATCGGAGTGCCTTCATGCCTGTCGGGGTGCGGGCTTCATCTGTTCGTGTCGGAGCGGTCGGCGAGGCCGCAGGTGGGCAACCCAACGCTCGAGGGGCGCCTATGAACAGACATGAATCAGCATAGAAGTGCATGATCGAGACACAAAAAACCTTAGAGCAACATTAGCACTGTGTGGATGCGTCTGGCAGTTCCGCTTGAAGCAGGTGACACCACGCAGTATAGGTCCCATCGGAGTGCCTGCATACCTGTCGGGGTGCGGGCTCCATCTGTTCGTGTCGGAGCAGTCGGCGAGGCCGCAGGTGGGCAACCCAACGCTCCAGGGGCGCCTATGAACAGACATGAATCAGCATAGAAGTGCATGATCGAGACACAAAAAACCTTAGAGCAACATTAGCACTGTGTGGATGCGTCTGGCAGTTCCGCTTGAAGCAGGTGACACCACGCAGTATAGGTCCCATCGGAGTGCCTTCATGCCTGTCGGGGTGCGGGCTTCATCTGTTCGTGTCGGAGCGGTCGGCGAGGCCGCAGGTGGGCAACCCAACGCTCGAGGGGCGCCTATGAACAGACATGAATCAGCATAGAAGTGCATGATCGAGACACAAAAAACCTTAGAGCAACATTAGCACTGTGTGGATGCGTCTGGCAGTTCCGCTTGAAGCAGGTGACACCACGCAGTATAGGTCCCATCGGAGTGCCTGCATACCTGTCGGGGTGCGGGCTCCATCTGTTCGTGTCGGAGCAGTCGGCGAGGCCGCAGGTGGGCAACCCAACGCTCGAGGGGCGCCTATGAACAGACATGAATCAGCATAGAAGTGCATGATCGAGACACAAAAAACCTTAGAGCAACATTAGCACTGTGTGGATGCGTCTGGCAGTTCCGCTTGAAGCAGGTGACACCACGCAGTATAGGTCCCATCGGAGTGCCTGCATACCTGTCGGGGTGCGGGCTCCATCTGTTCGTGTCGGAGCGGTCGGCGAGGCCGCAGGTGGGCAACCCAACGCTCGAGGGGCGCCTATGAACAGACATGAATCAGCATAGAAGTGCATGATCGAGACACAAAAAACCTTAGAGCAACATTAGCACTGTGTGGATGCGTCTGGCAGTTCCGCTTGAAGCAGGTGACACCACGCAGTATAGGTCCCATCGGAGTGCCTTCATGCCTGTCGGGGTGCGGGCTTCATCTGTTCGTGTCGGAGCGGTCGGCGAGGCCGCAGGTGGGCAACCCAACGCTCGAGGGGCGCCTATGAACAGACATGAATCAGCATAGAAGTGCATGATCGAGACACAAAAAACCTTAGAGCAACATTAGCACTGTGTGGATGCGTCTGGCAGTTCCGCTTGAAGCAGGTGACACCACGCAGTATAGGTCCCATCGGAGTGCCTGCATACCTGTCGGGGTGCGGGCTCCATCTGTTCGTGTCGGAGCAGTCGGCGAGGCCGCAGGTGGGCAACCCAACGCTCGAGGGGCGCCTATGAACAGACATGAATCAGCATAGAAGTGCATGATCGAGACACAAAAAACCTTAGAGCAACATTAGCACTGTGTGGATGCGTCTGGCAGTTCCGCTTGAAGCAGGTGACACCACGCAGTATAGGTCCCATCGGAGTGCCTGCATACCTGTCGGGGTGCGGGCTCCATCTGTTCGTGTCGGAGCGGTCGGCGAGGCCGCAGGTGGGCAACCCAACGCTCGAGGGGCGCCTATGAACAGACATGAATCAGCATAGAAGTGCATGATCGAGACACAAAAAACCTTAGAGCAACATTAGCACTGTGTGGATGCGTCTGGCAGTTCCGCTTGAAGCAGGTGACACCACGCAGTATAGGTCCCATCGGAGTGCCTTCATGCCTGTCGGGGTGCGGGCTTCATCTGTTCGTGTCGGAGCGGTCGGCGAGGCCGCAGGTGGGCAACCCAACGCTCGAGGGGCGCCTATGAACAGACATGAATCAGCATAGAAGTGCATGATCGAGACACAAAAAACCTTAGAGCAACATTAGCACTGTGTGGATGCGTCTGGCAGTTCCGCTTGAAGCAGGTGACACCACGCAGTATAGGTCCCATCGGAGTGCCTGCATACCTGTCGGGGTGCGGGCTCCATCTGTTCGTGTCGGAGCAGTCGGCGAGGCCGCAGGTGGGCAACCCAACGCTCGAGGGGCGCCTATGAACAGACATGAATCAGCATAGAAGTGCATGATCGAGACACAAAAAACCTTAGAGCAACATTAGCACTGTGTGGATGCGTCTGGCAGTTCCGCTTGAAGCAGGTGACACCACGCAGTATAGGTCCCATCGGAGTGCCTGCATACCTGTCGGGGTGCGGGCTCCATCTGTTCGTGTCGGAGCGGTCGGCGAGGCCGCAGGTGGGCAACCCAACGCTCGAGGGGCGCCTATGAACAGACATGAATCAGCATAGAAGTGCATGATCGAGACACAAAAAACCTTAGAGCAACATTAGCACTGTGTGGATGCGTCTGGCAGTTCCGCTTGAAGCAGGTGACACCACGCAGTATAGGTCCCATCGGAGTGCCTTCGTACCTGTCGGGGTGCGGGCTCCATCTGTTCGTGTCGGAGCGGTCGGCGAGGCCGCAGGTGGGCAACCCAACGCTC